AAAAAAAGGCAAGTTTGATACTTCGTATCCTTTGACCTGAGAAAATATATTTCACATTTCATTCATTCTTTCAGGGAAAAAAGTGGGACTCGGGAGTCAGAGTAGCCAAGCAAAATTTCTCAGCTCCTCTGCTTACTAATAATACTACCTTGGAATAGCCTCATTTTCTTGATATAAAAAATGGAGGTGATAAGAACAGCTGTATGTGCATGAAATGAGAAATGTATATAAAATACATAATCGATTGTCCTAGAGTAAATAACAAACGTTGATGGTTGCTGATGATATTATTAATCTATGGCATAAAGAAGAGAGTAAAGAACCTGTGTCCAAAAACCAAGGGTAGGAAGGAATAAGAAAAGAGAGCAGTTGATAAATGATCATTTTACAAATGAAAATTCATGCAGCTCCTATGACTTTTCCAGTCATTTAGTAAAACCAAACCATTCTTTGATCACTTCTAGTGAGAAAAGTGATCATAGTAATTTACAACGCTCACATGTACGTAATTTTCCAAGTTTCAACCTTGCCTGAGAGTTAATGTCCTCCCTCCCGTGGTTTGACTGTGCCTTAGGAAAGGGAAGTCCTGGGTTTCTCACTCTCCCTACTTGGGTGCCTCCCTTTCTCCTTCCTCATTTTGCAAACTAAGGTTTCTTGCCACTGCAGGGTTAGAGCTCACAGAGGGAAAGAGGTGCAGGAGATAAGAACACTCTTACTTGACAAGGGCTATTGGTGATCTGGTGTTTACACCTCGAGGTTTGGCATATGCTTAAAGCTGGCCCATTTTCTAGCAGGTGCTTCTTTGGGGTTTTCTCTCTCTCTCTCTCTCTCTTTCTGTCTCTGTCTCTTTGTCTCTCCCTCTCATTCTCTTTCTCAAAGCTCCCTGACATGCAGACATGCACTTGTGTTCTGCTTCTCTGTGACTGCTGCCACAGCCCCTAGGAGTCATTCAGTGATATTCCCCTTGTTCCTTTTTGCATGACACCTTTTTTCTTGCGGGTGACCCCTTGAACAGGGCTTAAGACAGCTTGCTTTCTTGTATGGCTCAAATCTATCCAAGGGAATTAATTTGCCTCCCCAAACTCAAAGGTTATAGGGTTACATTTTAAACTCTCTGGGTGGTTCTCTGGATCTCCTTGTCTCAGGCTTGAGGGGAGAAGCAGACAGCCCCTGTAGCATGCTGATAATTTTCTCCAAAGACCTTCTCTTTGTCTTCAAGAATCTTCAACTCTTTTATACCTTCAGCATAAGTATAAGGTTGTAAGAATTATGTAACTATTTCTGTACCCCTTCCTTTGAAAAATTTGCATTATACTGCTGTATAATTTCACTTTGGAATATGTTTCTAGTGTTTGGGTACCTTAGGCAAAATATCCTAATTTTCTTTTTCCTTTTTCTTTTTGGGAGACAGGTCTCACTAGTCACCCAGGCTGGAGTTCAGTGGTACAATGATAGCTCACTGCAGCCTCAAACTCCTTGGCTCAAATGATCCTCCTGCCTCAGCCTCCTGAGTACCTGGGACTACAGGCACGCACCGCCACACCTGGCTAATTAAATTTTTTTGTTTTGTTTAAAGGCTGGTCTTTAACTTCTGACCTCAAGGGATCCTGCTGTTCTGGCTTCCTAAAACACTGGGATTGTAGACATGAGCTCCCACACTGCAATGGCCAAAATGTGATCTTTCGCACCATATTAAAGGTAAAAGGGGGAATAAATCACTTTGTGGATGCCCTGACTTTACAGACCATCATCCTGTAGGAGCTGAGGCAGCCAAGGAGAAGATGCTTTACACACGCAAGGGTTATAATTATGACTTTCATGGTACCAGATCTAATCACAAAATAGAGCTTTAAAGGCGAATTATTTTTGAAACGTCCATATTTAGTATTTTCCTCCTGGGTAGAATTTTGAAAGAGTGCTTATCTGAGGCCTGACATATTGTTTTGGGAGCTAAAATGTGTTTAAAATGTAATGTTCAGAGGAAGTTAACTGTTAACTTTTCTCAGTTGTAAGATGATTCCAGATTCCCATGTATATTAAAATACATCAGTCTTAAGACAAATTAAAATGCATTATGTATTTTGTTTAAATTATTATTTTTTGCACTTCAGGCATAAATATTTTTAAATATGAGAACTCCCACATAAACATATGTGTACAGCTGTGAGCTCGTGTCAAAAATGTCTGTGACTGCCTTGTCATAGTTTTGGAGATGAACATCTTTATTAAAAGACATTCAACAAAGTTAAAAAAAATTTTTTTTAAGGGGGAGGATGGAATCAAAGTTAACAGAAGAAAGTGCCTTTAATTTTTGTATATTTTTGTAATTTGTTTTACCGCTGGATATTAGCATGTATTATTTTTAAAATTCAGAAAAATGAAGTCAGCATTTAAAAAGGGTATATATCTTTAATGTGTTTAATGAAGTACAGAACTGATAATGATAACATATAGGTGAAAAAGAGCAAGGTATAAAACATATATGCAATAAGATTCTGATCTGGGTAAAATACAATTAGTTCAAAGACTATGGGGGAGAAACCTCAAAATACTAGCTATGGTCGGGCACAGTGGCTCACACCTGTAATCCCAGCACTTTGGAAGGCCAAGAAAGGCAGATCAGTTGAAGTCAGGAGTTCAAGGCCAGTCTGGCCAACATGATGAAACCCTGTCTCTACCAAAAATGCAAAAATTAGCCAGGTGTGGTGGTGCACGCCTATAGTCACAGCTGCTCAGGAGGCTGAGGCAGGAGAATCACTTGAACCCAGGAGGTGGAGGTTGCAGTGAGCTGAGATCACTGCATGCATATTTTACTATTAGCAAAAAAGAAAAAAAAAATGGTCAGAAGAGAGACTCTTGCAGTTACAGTGAGCTTTCAGTACTTCGGACTTTTCCAGTGTTTGTTTATTAAGTTCCTTTCACTGTAGGTGATAATCAAAAATTTATTTTCCAAATAATAATGCCTCATATCTCTAGGGAAATAGTAATATGATAAAACTGCTTTTCGATTTTAAAACTGTGAACTCTACAAAGATATATAAATAATGCTGTTTTTTGCATTCTTTTTTCAGCCTATTCTAGGATTTGGTCCTAAAATGAAAGGAGGAAAAAAAAAAAAAAAAAAGACATGCAGATTCCTGACATTCTTTCCTAACCAGAATCCTGTTGAACTCCTAATATGAAATTCTTCCTCAAAATATATACTAACCCCCTTTCATTTTTATTTGATGACTTCCAGCCTATTTTTTCCTCAAAAAACTAGTGTTATCATCTAAATTCCCTTCTTTTAAAAATGTGGTCATGTGATTTGTAAATAAATCTGTTAACCTGCAGAATGTTAACTTATGTGACTTTGAGCAAATGACGTGAGGTTTTCTACTTATTTGTAAAAAAGTGAATATTAAAAAAGAAAAGCTGATAGGTCTAAAATGGGTTTATAAACATTTTAAACATTTATAAAGTTATTTGAAACATACAAGTCATTGATATTTTTCTATTAGTCAAACATACTTTTTCTGTCTTTTGGAATGTGGTCTATTTTCGTCAGCCAGTATTCTCTGAGTGACTAAACATAGCACCAATCCCATTGGAAGATTTATATATTTTAACTTAGCAGTAATTACCTTAGATGGAAATAAAACATTTTAGTCCTGATCTGCAGGAATAAGTTTAACTCTCTAAAGTAAAGGTTGATAACCTCTACAACATGAGGCTAGAGGAGAAAGTTTGAAATCTAAAATGTGCTTGTATGTTGTAATATGCTTACATAAGTGACTTTGAAACTGTTAAGAAACTTTTTAATAATTTTAAATAATATGAAGTTTTTTTTCTTACAGAGTGAATAGATACAGTCATGGCAGTACTATGAAAGTGTTATTACATTTTAGTTATATTTGTCATTATTAAATCATATGAGAACAATTCTAAGTGATACTGTTGTCTACCTAAACTAGTACCTAAGTAGGGTAAAATTAAAAGTCTTTGTCTTTGAATTTTCTCTGGGTTTTAGTTTATCAGTTCTGATGATGTAGCAATGCAGAAAAAAGACTATGAAGTGGTGTGTGCCTGTGTGTGTGTGTGTGTGTGTGTTTTCCGTTTTCTGGTGGGACTGGGTCTGATTTGTGTTCTTTGGTTACCTTGAGCGGTTGTAAATGTTCAGATAAATTACAAGAGAAAAGGAACAAAG